AAAAGGTTAGAATATATCTTTTGAAATGTATGACAAAGGATACATACAGCCTGATAGATACTCCTTAAGTGCTTACTGTTTGATGGATTGAAGGCGATGAGGGCTGGTGGTTAAGTGGTGCACGAGAATTGAATCTGAAATAAAAGAAAAAAAAACAAAAGATTAGAACGCATCTCTTAAAATGTTTGGTGAAGGATACATACTGCCTGCCTGATAGATGCTCGATAAGTGCTTACTGCTTGATGGATTGAAGGCGATGAGGGCTGGTGGTTCAGTAGTGCAGGAGAATTGAATCTGAAATAAAAAAAACAAAAGATTAGAATGCATCTCTTAGAATGTTTGGTGAAGGATACATACTGCCTGATAGATACTCGATAAGTGCTTACTGTTTGATGGACTGAAGGCGAAGAGGGCTGGTGGTTCAGTGGTGCAGGGGAATTGAATCTGAAATAAAAGACAAAAGATTAGAATGCATCTCTTAAAATGTTTGAATAAAGGATACAGACTGCCTGATAGATACTCGCTAAGTGCTTACTGTTTGATGGACTAAAGGCCATGAGGGCTGGTGGTTAAGTGGTGCAGGAGAAATGAATCTGAAATAAAAAAAACAAAAGATTAGAAAGCATCTCTTAACATGTTTGGTAAAGGATACATATTGCCTGCCTGATACTCGATGAGGGCTGGTGGTTAAGTGGTGCAGGAGAATTGAATCTGAAATAAAAAAAAAACAAAAGATTAGAATGCATCTCTTAAAATGTTTGAATAAAGGATACAGACTGCCTGATAGATACTCGATAAGTGCTTGCTGTTTGATGGACTAAAGGCCATGAGGGCTGGTGGTTAAGTGGTGCAGGAGAATTGAATCTGAAATAAAAAAAAAACAAAAGATTAGAATGCATCTCTTAAAATGTTTGGTGAAGGATACATACTGTATGCCTGATAGATACTCGATAAGTGCTTACTGCTTGGTGGATTGAAGGCGATGAGGGCTGGTGGTTTAGTAGTGCAGGAGAATTGAATCTGAAATAAAAAAACAAAAGATTAGAATGCATCTCTTAGAATGTTTGGTGAAGGATACATACTGCCTGCCTGATATATACTCGGTAAGTGCTTACTGCTTCATGGATTGAAAGCGATGAGGGCTGGTGGTTCAGTAGTGCAGGAGAATTGAATCTGAAATAAAAAAAAACAAAAGATTAGAATGCATCTCTTAAAATGTTTGGTGAAGGATACATACTGCCTGCCTAATAGATGAATCTGGATTGAAGGCAATGAGGGCTGGTCGTTCAGTGGTGGAGAATTGAATCTGGAATAAAAAAACATAAGATTAGAATACATCTTTTAATGATTGATAAAGAATACATACTGCTGAAGTAGCTGAAGTAGATTCGAACTATTCCATTGTGAGCACTAAGCTCACACTTCGTCCATTGATTTCCAAGAACACACTAGAAGTGATGAAAAAACGTTAATGCATCAATGTAACAACTTATGCGTATCAGAATAACAAATTGGCGCAATGCTATCTGGATTGCAAACGGCAGCAGTTGTTTATAATTGACAATAATTTAATAATTATATAATTAAATCGAATGGTTCAGATTATTACATGGTTGTTTAATAGTGGATTATTGTGTTAGTGTGTCAGTCTAAACTAAAACTACGAATGCTACCTACATAAACTGCTACTACCCCAAACTACTATATTATCATGCAAGTAATTATCTGAACCACGGGATTACATAATGAATAATTTGTTAACAAGGTAGAGTTGAAACGATATTGAATACTATATCGCAGGAGTTTATATCTGTAAAATAGATACAATTGCGTTAAACTACGTATGCCGTTCACAATCTACTGTCGCCGTTACAAATTGTTAAAAGAAATTGCGCAAAATTAAAATTCAATGCAAGCAAACGCGAATGAATGAATGAGAACCCGACAATGATCTATTTAATTTTGCTCGCGATTTCATAACACACTTATTATTATTGGGTACTTCCCTGGGTCCTTTTCCTTGGTCCTGAAGGTCCTCTTGCGTTGCTGTCTATCACATAAATGAGAGAGTTGACAACCGCGTGGACTTAGTTTACCATCAAGTCGCCGGCGGAGCCACTTGACACGGCAAAAATGACATAGTGCGCAAAAAAAAATTCGAATTGGTCCGATTAGATACTTATCAATATAAATAATAGTAATTATATTATTTTTTAATTAAAATTAAAAATAAATATAAATGAACATAGATAAATAAATAAACAAAATTTATATAAAAAATCGATAAACGAGCAAAATTGAAAAGAAACTAAAGCATAAATAAGCTTAAATGAATAAATAATTGATATGGAAAGTATATAAATAAACAAAATAATTAAAACAATAGATAAATGTATAAATCAATTATTTTAGAAACAGGCTAGTGATTCATGGCGTCGTGCTTGAAGGCAAATTGCTGGAACTTTCCATACTCTAATAAAATATTCAAGCATTATCAAATATTTTCAAATAGATTATTTTAAATACTGTCAATTTCATTTTTCTTATTTTATAGACGACCACGTTGATATATGTTTATATGAAAAATAAATATCAAACAGAGTTAGATTAAAAAACCTTATATTTCTAAGAATTAATCAACTGAATTGCAAAGTTAAAATAATTGAAGTATGTAAAAGTAAACTTTATAATTTCAATTAGAATTAAAATTAAAATCCTGATTATTGATACTCAACTAAACTTTTTTGGAAATTAAAGAAAGACTTGAGATTTGAAATTAAAAAACATCAAAAGCTTCGTTCTCTCGAAAACTACAATTTTTTTCATATACAAAAAATTGTATGCACGAACAAAACACATAGGCATCGATTATTGAAACTTTTGAAATGTAAAGATATGCAAAAATTTTCATTTTCGATTTTTGGACGATTACAATAACGTAGAAAAACTATGGAAAGAAATTATCAAATTTGTAAGTAAAAAAATTAAAAATAAACAATAAGTAAAACAATATCAATTATATGCATAAATAAATAAAAAATTAGCTAAATAAGAAAACTCGTGAAAAAAAAAAATTGAACTATTTGTAAGGGGTATTTTGCCGCACATTACATGAACTTTGCGATATGTGTAAACAATCTAATTGAGAAATAAATTTTAGTGGTAGTACTCCAAGTGGATTTATTACACATTATTGAAAATTTTTTTCCATATTTGGTCTCATTCTATTCAAAATGGCTTGAAACTTCGAGAAAACAAAAATAGCAAATCAGATTCTTTGATAAAAACAAACTTCGCCTTCAGAAAGTTAAATATATAAAAAAACATGAAATAAAATGAAAAAAATATAAATAAATTCTTAATGAATCAAATATCAAAATAGTAAGATAAATAAATAAATAAGCAAATGATTAAATAAATTACATACCTTGAAGTCTCAAAGCGTATTCCATTTAATAAATAGGCCTTTCGAGAAAAGTCTTTGATCCCTCACAGCAGATATCCTGTCGTTTGAGTTGCCATTCCTTAATTGTGGTTCATCAGCAACCTGAACCCAAAAAAAGTATCAATACAAAGCCCATACAATAAATCTTGTACAAATATTTTGAATAATAATTTATTTTGAGATATAAATATGTGATAAATTTTACATATTTTATTTTAACTGTAAGCATTAGCAGTTAACAGTTGAAGCTTAAAGTACGTTTTTAGAAAAACTATGCATTGATCTTCTCCTTATAGTATTTTACAAGTGTATATTAAAAAGCGTAATTATTCTCTAGGTTCCTCAAGATGACAAATAATTGGACTTGTATGAAATAAAAAATACTTGTTTTGTGATCTTACCTATAGTTACAAAAGCAAAGAAGTCTGTTGCAGCAAGCAAGCTAGTAGTAAGATGACACAGTATTCTCGTCCCAGAGTCGACTTATTTCTACAAGTCGACTACTTGCTGCTTATTGTCGACAGCTTTTTTTTTATAGCAGAGCTGAAATATAAAAGGTAATACTAAGTTTAGATTACTCTTTATATGTGTATCTAAAATTAAATATGCATGTATCTTTGACTAATTATTACAGTAATTCTTTGTTATAAAAGATAAAAGTATTTGCAGTGTTCACATGACATAGCCTCCATAGATTTTGACTAGGAAACTAAATCTGGGTTCATCGTAGCAGCAGTCAACAATAATATGTAACATGATTATGATAGATAATACTTTGTCTTCAAGTAAAATATTCTTAACAGAATTTAAATTCTGTTAAACATATATGCTGAAATTTCTTTCCATCGAGGGGAGTATATAAAAATTCCGAGGCTTTTATGATTGCAACAGAAAACTCTTAATGAAATAGGTTAAAATGTATAAATAATTATTGAATACCTAAATGTATTAAGTTTTAAATACAAGACATCACACGCCTTTATTTCATAGTGGTCATGACATTCACTTATGCAAAAGTACTTTGTTTTCAAAATCATCAAATTAAAAAATTAATGCGACAACTTCATTTAAGTACAAAATGTTTCGTATAAAAAGAATTGATATTAGCAATAAAGGAAGATTTTCTATTGGCATTACAGAATCTTTCTAAATTGAACTGAATTTCCTTACAAAAAACTTCAAAGAAATATTGAAATCCTTCAATTTCAAAGTAAAATCACATTATTCTCGAACCCGATTTTTTTGGGTCAAAATTTTTATCACGAGCCAGGATCGTTAAAGCAAATAAATTTTATAATTGCTAGCAATTGAGATAGAATTCCAATCGATGCGATATACGTTAATATAGAAAACACAACAAACACTGAAAAACGACCACATGTATCAAAGCAATATTATCAATGGTTCTTGGCTGCATTCTTAAACTGCATGAAAACACTTGATATTCATCTATGATCGCATAGGATTTAGCGCGCTTGTCAATGTGTTACAAACCAAACTAACCTCAAAATGAAATCAAAATCTGTCAATATGTAGTGAAGAGTATTCGGAGCACCCTTGGAAAAGATCAAGTAAACTTCCTACATAAGCTTCGAATCCACAAATAATTGTCAAACCCGTCACGTAAAATCACTAATTCAAAAATATACTCGGCCAGACACAGCCTTCGTATAAGATATTTGACGCGCCATTTTTCTTCACAATGTGATACAAACCAAACTAACCTCAAAATCTGTCAATATGTAGTGAAGAGTATTCGGAGCACCCATGGGAAAGAAGTAAAAACACCTGTATGAGCTTCGAATCCACAAATAATTCTCAATTCACGTAAAATCACTAATGCGAAAATACACTCGGCCATACAACAACAGTCTTTCACTTGCACGACATGGTACAATAGCAAAAATAATACTACTAACATGTGGCAAATGCACTTACTTGTTACTTGAGTGTCTACTGGCTTCCTATTACTGGAGTATCCACCGGCTTTCCAAGATCTTCTTCCCGCGATGGTTGAGATTAAAAAGAATTGTGCAATGACGCCCGGCAACCAAGAAACCTTGCGTTTGCCATTGTTCGGTAAAGTGTCATTAGGTCCCTGTCACGTGTCATCAGGGTAGACAACAAAATAGACAAGGTATATCGAGACAATATGTCCAACTTGTCTCAAATATCGATTGTGGTCAGTTCCGGCGATGCTTTTGAATTCTACTAAGGCATTTTAACGAATTTAAACAATTAATAATTTTGTTATATAAATAGATTATTAATATTATTTTGCATCCCTATCGTCTGTTTAAAAAATAGGGTTAATATAGAAAACTTGATATTGCTCTGTACTATTGCTTAGTCAACATGTTTTCAAATTAGAGCATTATGTTCTCTTTAATTTTGTCGTTTTATTAATTATATATTAGTTATGATGTTCTTTTACACAATTTTAGTGTTTATAATAAATTTTATGTTTGTTTTACACGGTTTAATGAAACACATTAAGTGTCGAAACGTTTAATAAACATTTTTTTATATTTGCCCTCTTTTTTAATTGGACAATTGGGCTGCAAAATATTTCTAATATATATTATATTGCAATTTTTTGATTGAGGCATCGAGTATCTTAACATATTGACAGAAAAATTCAAAAATAGTTAATTATAAATGTATAAACATATCATCTATTATATATATATAATTCTGAATTTAATGTTGACATATGTATTAACGAAGTCTAGCAATCAGGCATAACATTACAACAATAACAACACATATATTACTACACACTATCTATTTGTGATTTTTTAAGATAGTATTTTGTGAAATATTGTTTAATCACAAGTTTAATGTTTATATTACGTTAGTGCATGCATTACCATATCCGAATACTATGTGTTATTTGAATATTCTAATTTAACGCAAATAGTAAGTATTTTGTAATCTTTATATATATATTTTTTCTTTTCATTCCTAGTCAATTGTTTTAGTTTCCACTGAATGAAGGCTAGGATTATAGCCAAAACGTATGGATGTAAAATAAATTTTTGGTAGATATTACTAGACTTTGTTACTGTACATATATATCTTGACGTAAAAATTTCAAAATCTATTTGTGTAAAATAAATCATACTTTCAAGTACAAATGTAAAATAATCAATAAAAAGTATGTAATTTTAAACACAGACATCAATTTTTTTTAAAACAGGTTCAAAGATATTTTTTTATTATTTTACATGAATTTGATCATTAAAATTATTTTTCAGGTATTTGATGTTTGCATTTATTTACATGGAATATACAAATAAATCTATTTGATATCTTTATACGCTTTTACTTCAACAGTTAGAAATCTAATTTTCAATACACTTAATACGTTATATATAAATATATATATGTATATATGATATATAAATAGATACATGTATATATGATATATAAATACATATCAATTGTTATAACATCAATTGCATCGATTTATATATATTTATATATTTATATCTTTCAGTATAAAACCAATGCCATTTAATTAAAATTTAATTAATGAAAAAAAATCTTAGCGATAACAGTTAGCGCTAAATCAAATCAAAGGCATTTTCAAAATTCTGTATGCTTTTAAAAAATCTAATGTTTTATTTTGTGTCATCAAAAACTTTATCATAGACTATTCACATGAAATATTCTATCAAATAAGATAATGATTGACTTTAAAATATAAACCATTATATAACATTAATATATTACTATTACTCAGTATTGATTAATTGTAATTATATTATTATTTCACCTCTGGAATAATTAATTTGAGACACAAGCTGACCTCTTATTTCGTTTTGTATGAAGCCAAGCCAAAGTAGTAGCCCGTGAGTATCCAAACTTCGTACAGCAGCTGTTTTGAAAACTTGCGGAGAACTGAAAACTAAGATATTTGAAACTACAAAATCTTAAATTTGTTGGTACATTCAGCAATTGCATTTCTATTTTATTATACCTAGGTGAATTTCCACTGTTACATATATTAGTTAGTGTACTTAAGTACGTTTTTTTCATGAAGGTTTACAAAGACTATCATAAATACTCAAAGAAACAAAAATAAATCCTACTGGACGATAAATAAATCCTAGATAAGTTGCCTCTCCTGAAAATTTGAATAATTTTTATTTATGTAAAGTCTGATCTTTAAACTCAAATTATATATATATATATATATATATATAATAAAATGTATTACACATATGTATATACATATATGTATACATACATATATATGTATATACACATATAAATATATGTATACATATTTTTAAAAACGATAAAAATTTCAAATATGGTACAAAAATTCATCAAAATCTTATAAATTTTTAAAGATTTAGAAAATAATGAAAAACTCTTTATATAAAATATTCATGTTCAACTTTTATAAATTTGTAGAAATGTAATGAAAAAAAACGTGTTGTAAAATATTCATATACATACGTATTTCTTAACTCAACTTAAGCATTTTGGAAAATTTCACAAGTTCCAAAATTTTTAAATAAAATATTTATCTAATAAAATTATGGACTATCATTAAAAACCTGAGATTGAAATTTTTGAATCATTATTTATAATGATCATGGACAATAGACATTAAATTTTAAGATATATAAAATAATATAAAGTATGTTAGATTATATAACAATAGCATTTCAATTTAATGAAATACATTTTATTTGAGTCGACATGAATGTCAGAAATCTATTGCACGTATTAAAGACGTAACCAAAGAATGATTTATACATGTTTAATGATTCCCAACCCTACACAATTCTTAACACCCTCCAAGATGTCATCGAATTGAGCTGAAAATTTAAAACCAGAATGATAAAAACTTGTTTTACCTTAATATGAACCTGGAATATCATGTTGTATCAATTTGCATATTTAGTCATCTCTCACAATTCAAACTTGTGGAAGTTCAAACGATGTACAAGAAACAATGCTGTTTTTAAATGCTGTTTTTAATGATATATATTATTTCAGTCTCATGTTCATAGCGAGCAAACTCCATCTGAGCCTCAAGCTTCTCCTCCTCCATTAGCATCTCGCGTTTGAGTGCCTCATTCTTTTGTTTGTACAATTCGTGCAGTTGCTTCCAGCGTGTGCCGTACTCGTGTTCAAATGAACCAATGTCAGCAAATCTGGGACCGGCCTGACGAGCTTTGAAGAATTCTGGATTTTTCTTCAACATGTTCTTTTCCTGGACGCCATCGATGTCGTCGACAAAGTCGAAGGGCTATCTAAAATTTTACACAATTTTGAGTTTTTGCCAATACAACACACAATATTGTGTTATATTGTTTCTTTTATCAGATACAATAAATTGCAGCCAAATAATATTTTCATTATATTCAAACGGTAATTAATTTCATCATAAGTGCATGTAATATAAATTAATATATAAATATATTTTTGGAATGTTTAATTGCAGTCAATTAGTCTAAATAATAATAACAATTATAAATATATAATAACTATGTATGTTTTGACATTGCATATGTGTCATCATTCAACAAATTAAAAGTAAAATTAAAAAAAAAAGATTTAATAATATATATTGATACTAGAAGAAAAATCAACTTATATTGCTTTATAAAAATAATATATATATATATATATATATATATATTATATATATATATATAATGAATAAATGTAGTCAAATCCAATAAAAATCTATAATTTCAAAAAATAAGATCAAAAGTTTCAAATCAGAAATTTAATAATATTTCAAATTATTAACATTGAAGTATTACACCTTTTCTTAAATTTTAGTTTTTTTGGATTTGACTACATAAATATATTATATAAACTTAAAATATTATATACTAGATAGAAAAATAGATAAAACAGAACTTGCAATAAATTTTGAAATTGATAATGTGATCAATTTTAAAAATCGATAACAATACAAAGATACGTAGTAGAAACTAAAAAAAATATGTAGATAAAGTAATTTACAATGAAAAATTTCTAATAAATTTTTAAACAGTATAATATAATTATATTAATTATATCAATTTAATTAAATTGAGTTATAAATTTTAAAAATCATAGTAAATTATGCAATCAAATCCAACGAGACTTTAATTTTTGAAAAAAGTAAGGTTAGAAAATTGTAAAAATTTCTTGAAATGATTTTAAATAATATAAGAGATATAAAATACATAATATATATATATATATATATATATATATATGTGTGTGTGTGTGTATATATATAAATGATAATGTTATGCAATAAAATTTAAAATTTGAAGAAAATAGAACAAAAGTTTCAAATGAGAAATTAAAAAAAAATATAGACAAAGATAAATTTTGAGAAAATTTTAGAAACAATCAGAAATTGTGAAAAAAATTTTGAAATGATTCTAAATATTATAAGGAATATAAAATAAATTTATATTTGTAATGAATGAATGTAGTCAAATCTAAAATTTGCAAAAAATTAAAAGAAAAATCAGAAATTGGAAAATTAATAAAAAAGAAGTTATAAAATTAATTAAAAAAAAAATTATATAGAATAAAGTCATGTAGTCTAAAATTTGAAATAGATGTTAGAAAAAAATACAGTTTAATATGATTTTTGAAATAATTAAAAATATTTTGATAATAAATTTATCAAATATAATTGAAGTTATATAGTCAAATTTAAAAATTGAAATTTCAAACAAATTTAAAAAAAACATTATAATAGGGCATACTGCTAAGATCATTTGTGCTAATCCATTATAGTACGGGAGCCAGCAACGTTTTCGAGCAAGCATTTTAGTCAGGCTGGTTTTTTGGTATATGGTCCTTGGTGCTCTCTCGGTTAGGGTAAGGGCCGTCTGGCAGCTGGAAGTGGTTGCGTTAATTAGTGCGCAGCCAATTTGTACAGCGCGATTTCAAAATTTTGAAAGCATTTTAGTCAGCCCAATTTTCGTTTTTTTGACTTCGAATAGGTTCACCAGACTCAATTTTTTTGTTGCCAGACATTTTGGGCGCTGCTAAATATGTGCCAGACGCCAATTTATTTATTAATTTTTTTAAAAATTCAAATCATTTTAGTCCGTCTGAAATTTTAGTATTATGTTCGTTAAGGGTAAAAACACGTAAAATTAATTTGCCAGACGTTTCTGCGGTTGTTAACCATGTCTGGCAAGCAAAAATGTCTGGCAATATGATACTAGTTTATAGCATTTTTGTCAGTCCAATTTTCATTTTTTGACTTGATATTAGATTTGATAACTTGAATAAGTTATCCAGATTCACAATTTTGTTGCCAGACATTTTGGGCGCTGCCAAATATGTGCCAGACGCCAATTTATTCATTAATTTTTTTTAAATTTCAAATCATTTTAGTCCGTCTGTAATTTTAATTTTATGTTCATTAAGGGTCAAAAAACATAAAATTAATTTGCCAGACGTTTCTGCGGTTGTTAAGCATGTCTGGCAATCGCTAAATACATTGGCGCGAATGAAACATGCACTAACTATAATATAATGTAAAATAATAATCTTTAAATAATACATATTTACAAAATCTGTGAAATAAGTAATAATTTCAAGATCTATATGATTCTATTAATTACAACCAAATGAAACCATACGACAAAATAATAGTATAATTACCTTAACTTCAAATGTCTGATAAGCACTAAGGATTCCAATAGTCTTCTTAATACAAATGAGTAACAATTCAATGTACTCGGCTTCTGGTAAAATCTCCAACAAGACTCCAATGAGGTTTATAGTGCCTATTAATATGACGCCAATTGGACAAACATCTGAAAGAAATAATTATTATCATGAATCAATATAATAAATCAAATTAAATTTTATTCACAGATACACACCCAAAACTCAATCCAAATGCATATAAATTGCCCCGTAGCGCAATGTGCTGCAGAGACACAGGTTCTATGAATAAATGTACTAAATATAATATAATGTAAAATAATAATCAAGCTTCCAATTTCTTTAAATAATATATATATTTACGAAATATGTGAAATAATTGACAAAATAATAGTATAATTACCTTAACTTCAAATGTCTGATAAGCACTAAGGATTCCAATAGTCTTCTTAATACAAATGAGTAACAATTCAATGTACTCGGCTTCTGGTAAAATCTCCAACAAGACTCCAATGAGGTTTATAGTGCCTATTAATATGACGCCAATTGGACAAACATCTGAAAGAAATAATTATTATCATGAATCAATATAATAAATCAAATTAAATTTTATTCACAGATACACACCCAAAACTCAATCCAAATGCATATAAATTGCCCCGTAGCGCAATGTGCTGCAGAGACACAGGTTCTATGAATAAATGTACTAAATATAATATAATGTAAAATAATAATCAAGCTTCCAATTTCTTTAAATACATATTTAGAAAATTTGTAAAATAATTGTAATATTTTTAAGATCTATAGGATTATGTTAACCACAACCAATTACCTGAACTTCAAATTTCTGATACGCAGTAAGGATTCCAATAGTCTTCTTAATACAAATGAGAAGCAATTCAATGTACTCGGCTTCTGGTAAAATCTGCAAAATAGTATAATATTAATAATGGATATATAACTATCAAATTCATTCATATTGAGATTACAAAAACTACTATAAGTATACCTATCTCAAATTTGGCCGATCTGCTTATGAATTATTTATTGTATAATGTCCTGGACGGATAGATAAGTTGTTCTGTAAATTAAAAAAAAATGCTTATTATCAATATTGATATTAACAATAAAACTTAAAACTTAACTTAACAATGTATCTATAACTATTCGAATAAAAAAATCTATTGATGATGAAGTATTTTCGGAATAATAGAATCTACAAATGTTAAAACATACTTAAAAAAAAAAAGATCAATTCATATTCTTCGGCTACAAATCTTTTTCCAATGTGAATAAACCTTCGAGTCACAAAAAAATATCCATTACAAACAAAAATATTGAATTTTTGGACGCAAGGTTTAATAAATAAATAAAATAGTAAAATAATAATCAAGCTTCCAATTTCTTTAAATAATACTTTAAGAAATCAGTGAAATAAGTAATAATTTTAAGATCTATATGATTCTATTAACTATTGACAAAATAACAGTATAATTACCTTAACTTCAAATTTCTGATAAGCACTAAGGATTCCAATAGTCTTCTTAAAACAAATTAATAATAATTCAATATATTCGGCTTCTGGTAAAATCTGCAAAATAGTATAATACTAATATAGACTATCAAATTCATTCGTATTGAGATTACAAAAACTAGTAAAAGTATACTTATCTCAGATTTGGCCGATCTGCTTATGAATTGGATCAATCTATTGTATCAAGTCCTGGAATGATAAGTTGTTCTGTAAATTATAAAAATGCTTATTATCAACATTAAGATTAATAATAAAACTTCAAACTTAAAAAACAATTCATCTATAACTATTCGAATAACAAAATCTATCCATGATGAAAAATATCTTTGCAATAATAGAATTTACAAATGTTAAAACATACTTAGAAAAAAATTGATTCATTGATTAATTCGTACAAATTATTAGACAAAAGTCTAATGATTATTAGACAAGATATACCTGGAGCATGATTTTATAAACTATAAAAAACAGTTCCATGATATTTTAACAAAATTTGGAAAAGATGCTCAAACAAAACTTAAACCGGGCATATTTAAATTAATTAGTTAAAAATAAATATTTAATAACACAAAAAAACAGAAATCAAACCTTCTAGCAAATGGCCCCATTTTTGCCAGATCCCACGATTAAGTCCAAGAAAAAAATCCTCACACCTCACTCATGTCATCGAGAAGCTATACAGGCTGCAGTCAGATAAATTTCTATTCATTAACTAGTTACCAAGTATCTTCGTAATCAAAATTAAACCTAAAAAAAAGTGTCAGATGTGAATGAATGTACTTATAAAAGTGAGTCGATGGGTGATTATAAAATGGGCAATGAAAAATTTTCAATTTCAACAAAAATTTTGGAAAAGTATTAAAAAAAAACAGAATACCCTGTACTAAACCAGCTCCAGGTAGAAATTGAACTGAATAATCTAATTCGACTGTGCCATATGATGATTACTGTACAAAATTCAGCCCAAGCACGACTTGAACAACCTTCCTCGACAAACATGTTTAATAAAACTATTCCAAGTAAAAGCATTTATCAAGCATTGAGAAAAGATTCTCACTCAACACATAAATCGAGCAAATGTTCAATAAAACGAAAAAATTAAGAAATAATTTCAACTTGCATAACCTAAATGTAATTTCTGACGCTTCACCCATGTGCACGTTTAATAGAATCATAAAACCGAACACGTAATATAATTATAATAATTTGCACAAATACAACATACCTTGAAATCAAGTCCACTCCTAGTAAATTGCCTTAATATTTTCAAAATCCTATGTTTTCCATTCCAAGTCCAAAAATAAAATGAATTATTTATTTGGAGGTTATACACACGCTGCAGCATAGATACATTCGAAGATGTCCGACTACAGAGTGTGCAAGTGGCGCCAAAAAACTCTAGCGGCGCTTATGGTACTTACGAAACTGTCAAATATGTCTACTCTTCTTTTATCTATGGATGTCGGTTTGATAACGATGAATATTTAAAATATGGGAAAGATTTCATGGGAACTAAATTTATATTAATTATTAATTTATATTATTATTATTATTGTTTAGCACACAACAATTTTCGTAATTAGTGATTTACTGAATTATATATTTATCTGAAAATTAAAATTTTTGCATTTCTCGACGTTCTGAAGGTTTCTGAACATTTTACTGGCATACCTCAGAAAAAATGGATGTGCGTGTGTGTGTTCATTTACGTTTCCGGGCGCACGGAACAACCGATTTGTATGATTTATTTACCATTCGATTCCTATTGATAGGGAGGTGTACTGATTAGTTTTTGGCAAAGGCAGGTCCAGTAGTTACGAAGATGCGGAGCAAAGAGTGCAGAAAATACAAATCGAGTTTTTGAGAGAACGGAGTATCGGATTTGAATGATCTAAAAAACATTCAATTAGTAATGATTGGGAGAAGTGGTGATTAGTTTTTGGCAGAGGCAGGCCCAGCCATTTCGAAGATACAGAGCTAAATGTGCAAAAAATTGCAGTTTTTGAGTGAACTAAGCGTCAGATTTGAATAATCTAAAAAACTTTCTGCTTGTATTGACAAAACAATTGCTTTTGAGGATAAAAAATCATTACATCTTTTTTTTATTTTGCATAAAATATTTTTGTAATTTTAGATTAAAAAAATTGAAAAAATTGAAGAAATTGAATTCGAAATGAAATGACGATTGTTAATGTTCTGGAGATAAATTTATTTACTTATAATTTACATTTGATTTGCTCAGATATAAATAACAAGATAGCAAAAATAATGAAATTCACATTATTTGTAATAATATATTTGAAAACGTTTAATATTCCTCGATTGTTTAATTACGGTACGGGAAGTTCCAGCAATTTACCTTAAGGCACGATGCCATACACCACTAGTTAATTTTTCACTGTTATTTAATTATCTTCTGAGATGTTTAATATTTTGCCAGAATATCCGATTTGCTAACATTGTTTTTTCGACGTCTCAAGTCATTCAGAATCGTTTGATATCAAAATCTTGAGATTTTTGAACTTTCGTCAACTTTTGTCAAAAAACGGCTATACCGATCGTAGCAATTTGAAAGCGATTCGATTCTTTGATTAAGTATGAATATCAACTCATAGATGGAAGTGGTGTTTTTCGTTCGAATTTTCTATTTAATTAAATAAATTAGGTGTAAGTGGCATTTTGCCTTAAGCAAAATAAACTTTTCATCGATATGTTGAAAAATCGACAAGTAGTGATTTGGCTGTCTAGATGAAATTTTCAACTATTTATTTCAAAAATAAATTTAATATTATTTTACTTTTCACAATTTTGGTGTCAAACTATTCAGAATGGCTTGTAGTAAAATATACAGTAATGTAGTACATTGTATCAGCTTTTTAATAACATATAATACTATATAAGTATTTTAACAAATTTGAGCAAAAATCAGCTAAATATAAAAAAATTGCCCACTGTTAACTTAACGAAGATCGTTATCGTTGATCCACAAATCGCTTTAAGCATTTTTTTAAATATAAGTTTGTTCCAAATGTTATAAAGTAACATATACAGTATTGTAACAATTTTTATTTGCTTTTGAACCATATATAATATTATAGATTTAATATCTGTTTAACCATATATAATATTATAGATCAAATATCTAATTTATTTTTGTATATATAAATTATTGCAAATAAGGTGTGGGACATTCTTTTCACCCTTAATAAATTTACAATTCATTTAATCAAAATTAAAACTCGTTGTAAGTGGCATTTTGTTATTAGGGCAAGTTGCGATATGTTTAAATAATTGATTTGCTAATTAAATATTTTCTCGACTATCTGGCTTGATAAAATTTAAGCTAAAGCTGATAAAATTCACTACATTATGTATATTTTACTTCATAATCTTTCTAACAAATTTATGTTTAAAAAAATGCTGAAACTTGTGATTTGTTGAATCATGGTGATGATTTTTGTATACTTTGCTATTTATTTGTTAATTTTTTTTAGAATTCATATATAATATTATAATATTATAAAAATAATTTAAGTTACGGACCTGCCTTAGGGTAGTAGTACCCATTATCATTTTATCTACATATATATATATATATATACACGTATATATATATATATATATTTATAAAAATAAGTCGGGTTTTCCTTCCTGACGAAATAACTCCAGAACGCACGAACCGATTTCGACAATTTTGCATTCAAGGTTTATAGCTAAGTCTATAGCTAAGAAAATTAGTGGTGCATGGCATCGTGCCATTAAGAAAATCATTGTTTTTCACATGGGCATTTATACGTTGCCTGTTCACGAGTTGGAAAACCATCCGCTTTGTTTGTGTTAACGTCAGACCAAAAAACAAAAAATGTGGTTTATCATAGGGCACTTCAATGAAACGGATAATTTGCGGATTCACTTTCATTTACTTAGAGAAGTTCAACTAAAAAAACACTTCATTTTTGTAATCGAAATATATTCATTACTGTTGTGTAATAAAATCAAATTTTTCCTTTTCAAATATAAAACAAACAAAAAATTTCTTCATCTTTCTCACGAAACCATCTGGTGGCGAAACGGAGTTCGTCGGGTTTACTAGTATGTATATATTTACACATGTATATATAACAATATCGGGGATTTGAATCCACATTAATATTTTCGAAAAAAAATGAACACTAGATATGTTTCGCTCCGACCATTTCCAGTCGTGCCATTTCTCTTTCCGGAACTGAAATCCGATTACGTAATAAGCGGATATACAAATGGACTACAAAGCTTTCATATTTAGAGATGGACAAAATACGAGTACATCCAAAAGGACATACATACAGAAATATATATATATATATATATATATATATATAAATTATTCTTGGGCATCCATCCAGTAATTAAAAACAGTTTTATTGAAAGAAAATGTTTTTATTAAGAAAACCTAGGTTTTGGGTCTTGATTTGACCCATCTTCAGTGCTACAATTACAAACATAAATCTAACCAATTTAATAAATTTGTTTTATAACAAATATATATTGTTAAAGTATATAAAAATGAAAAACAAACATATAATAAACAAATGTAAAGAAACTCACCATACAAATAAATTTGAAAAAAATACAAAAACACATGAAATTGCATGAAAAAGCTAGGAAACAACAAATTGATAATACGTAGAGTTATGATAAATTTTAAATAACTGTAAAATTAAAATAAAAATAAAAATAAATAATGTATTTTATTATAAAAAAAGCTTATTCCAAGCGAACACATGTTGTCAGCTTGGAGTTTGTGTAACATGTAAAATGTGTGCGTACGTGTTTGCGGAAAATTGGGGAAGTCAAGACCCGAAACGTATGTTTTCTTAATACAAACATTTTCTTTCAATAAAACTGTTTTTAATTACTGGATGGATGCCCAAAAATAATTTTATCATATTATTTCACCATCTGAAGAAAAACCTCGGAAGAAAAACCTATATATATATATATATTTATATATTAACCTATATATATATATATAAAACCCAGCCGTAAATGTAAAATTAATCTGTTCAATATATA